CCTAGAGTAGAGTGTCATAGAGTAGAGTATCGTAGAGTAGAGTGTCGTAGAGTGTCGTAGAGTAGGGTATAGTATGTATAGTAGAGTGTCGTAGAGTAGAGTGTCATAGAATAGAGTGTCATATAATAGAGTACAGTAAATTATCGTAGAGTAGAGTGTCGTAGAGTATCGTAGAGTAGAGTGTCGTAGAGTAAAGTTTTGTAGAGTGTCGTAGAATAGTGTTGTAAAGTAGAGTAGAGTAGAGTAGTCATACAGTAGAGTTATGTAGGGTAGAGTGTGGTAGAGTGTCGTAGAGTAGTGGAATAGAGTAGAGTACAGTGAAGTGGAGTAGAGTGTCATAGAGTGTCGTAGAGTGTCGTAGAGTGTCGTAGAGTGTCGTAGAGTGAGGTAGAGTGTCGTAGAGTACAGTAGAGTAGTCGTAGAGTAGAGTTATGTAGAGTAGAGTGTCGTAGAGTGTCGTAGAGTAGAGTGTCGTACAGTAGAGTAGAGTGTAGTGGAGTAGAGTGTCGTAGCGTAGAGTACAGTGGAGCAGAGTAGAGTAGAGTAAAGTATTGTAGAGTAGAGTACAATCGAGTGTCGAAGAGGAGAGAAAAGGAGAGTAAAGTAGAGAAGAGTAAAATAGAGTAGAGTAAAGTAGAGTAGAGTGGAGCATAGTAGAGTGTCCTCAGTGTCGTAGAGTTTCGTAAAGTAGATTGTTGTAGAGCAGAGTAAAGTGTCGTAGAGTGTCATAGAGTAGGGTGTTATAGAGCAGAGTAGCGTAGCGCAGAGTAGAGTGTCAAAGAGTAATTATTTTTTTTCAAAGTTACGTGCCAGCTCCCTTACCCCCACACTTTGGACTGTGCCAGACTGTTTTGTTGGACTTTCACCGACTTATAAGGAGGTTGAACCCCGACAGTCTACCTAGGATGCATTTGAATGATAAATGTGTGTGTGTGTGTGTGTGTGTGTGTGTGTGTGTGTGTGTGTGTGTGAATATTTGTGTGTGCATGTGTGTGCGTGTCACGTGTGTGTGTGTGTCATGTGTGTGTGTGTGTGTGAATATGTGTCTGCGTATGTGCGTGTGTGCGTGTGTGCGTGTGTGTGTGTGCGTGTGTGTGAGTGTGTGTGAGTGTGTCATGTGTGTGTGTGTGTGTGAGTGTCTGTCTGTCTATGTGTCTGTGTGTCTATGTGTATGTGTGTATGTGTGTATGTGTGTATGTGTGTGTGTGTGCCCCCGTCTATGTGTGTGTGTGTGTGTGTGTGTGTGTGTGTGTGTGTGTGTGTG